TTGATCCCATACTAGTAATACTAATAATTATCTCTTACTGTCTTTATGCCCATTTGTGATCTTATAATTAAAAAAAAAAAAACATTGAACAAAGTTGTTGTCTTCTCCAAGAGAAGTTCCAGCCATTCTTCCCCCTATCATTGGCCATTGTTTTACTTTCCCTATCCCATAAGAAAGAGAGATGCATGAAATTGTTAACTTTCATCATATCTCACCAATCTCTCCACTATTTAAAGATTGCTTCAACAGGAAGAAGAAAACCTAGATATCTTTTTGTTAGTTAGTTTGTTTGTAAGGGTGCAGTTACCCTCTTTTAAGAAACTGTTTCTTCCTTTCAAAATGGCAGTTACGCAAGGAGATAGGAATTATGGTCTGTGATTCTAGAAAATAAAACACGTTGTTTTCTTTTGATCATTCCTTTCTAACCTGTTGTAATCTTGGCCATTCTTTTCTCTTTCTCTGCAATGCAAAGACTTGAGAATTGTGTCTGCTCTCTGGGATGAAAATTGACAAAAACCAACCTTTAACCTTCTTTATTCTGGTTTACATAGGCCATCAAAGAAGATTAAAAAATTATTTCTCCAACTATTACAGCCTATATCACTAGTGTTCTTCACAGGGCTACGGGGACAAAATGTCAGCCAGTAATAAAGTTTTACTCTGCTTTGCTTCATCCTTGTATATACATCTCTATAGAAGAACTCAAGAGAGGGAGTACTGGCCAAATGCCATCTCAATTTCATCTCACATTATTATTTCCCAAAGAGCAATTCAGATAGCATTTTAACTCCCTGTAAGGAAACTAATTTATACAGATTAAAAACAGAATACAAATGACCCATGGCCAATAAATGAGAAAAAGTTTAAGGCATTTTCTGAAACTCAGTTTTGAAAGTCTTTTTCCTCTTTATCCTTTCCTTTTATACATGTATTTGTTTAGTACTCAGTGTATGCTAGGCAATAGATAAAGTAGTGGGCAAGACAGATGTATTCTCTATCATACTTTTCAGAGGAGGCTGAAAATAAATAAACAATTATTTAATATAGTGATATGCTCTTACAAGTAAATAAAACTACAGTGTGGTTTGGCAGTAAGAAAAGTCTCTAAATCTAATATTATTCCCCCACTTCCATCCCCTATTGTTTACATGACATTACTGAACATGAGTTTTTGGATCTATGGGCTTATAATTTCTATCAAATTTGGAGTATTTCAGCTTACTATATTTTCAAATATTTTTTATGCCTTCTCCTAGACCAAGTTTTATATATATATATATATATAAAAAAATATATAGTACATGTATATATGTATATATGTATACATGTATATATGTACATGTATATTGTATACATATATACAATATATGTATACTATATTCCATGGGTCACAAAATCTTTCTTAAATTTTTCCAGACATTTGTTTTCTCCTTTTTATATTTTGGTTTGATTCTATTGCTATGTTTCCAAGTTTACTGATATTTTCATTGTGCAATATCTAATCTGCTATTTATCTGATTCAGTAATGTCTTAATTTTAGATATTATTTTTTAATCTACAAAGGTTTCATGTTTTAGTATCATAAATTTCTCTCCTATCTTCATGTTTTTAATTAAATACCACTTCATAGTTATAATAGTTATCTTAACATCTTTCTCTGCCATTGTTTCTGTCATTTCTGTGTTTATTTCTATTGAATGCTTTTATTTTTTCTGGGTTATAGTCTATCTTTTCTTGATTCTTGGCATGTATTAAATATTTTCATTGGAGACTGGACCTTATATATCTTATGCTTCTATTTTGGCAGTTAATTTTGGCAATTAAGTTACTTTGGCTATATAACTTTGAGGTGTGTTTTAAGTTTTTGTAGTGTGTATCTGGAGTAGACTTTGCTCCAGGGATAATTAAGCCATGCTTCTAAAATAAGACTCCTCTGAAGTTTCTACCAAATGGTCTGGCTGATCACGAAGGATTGTATACTGTCTGGCTGGTTAGCCATTAAACAACTCCTTGCTTTGTGTGAATTTTCAATTTTTTTTGTCTTATAAGTTTATGGTAATGTTGGACTAGAATTGTAAAATTTTATTGTATGTACATATAGCCAAGTATTCAGCAAAGACTTAAAGAATCTGTTATGTAGATTTCTGAAGCTGTGTTTCTGCATAATTCTTTCTTTCTAGAGCTCTGCCCTGCTAATTTCAGTCACCTAACCCCTGAAATCTAGTCTTTTTTTTTTCACAATTCCTGCTTTATTTAGTGTTTTTTTAGTGTTTATTTGTTTAGTGTTTATTTTAGTTTATTTATTTAGTGTTTTTTTATTATAGAGTATTATGAGAGTACATTTTGTTTACATTTTATGTCTTTTCCTCACCCAAGCGAGGGTTAGAGGTATGCCCTTCCCCTCTGCAAGGCTCACCGTGTCCTTTAGTTGTGAGTTTACCTCCCAACCCCCTAATCTCTGGAGAATATTACTAACATGTGAGCACCATAGTTTTAATCAGTCAGTACTAATTTGATGGGGAGTACAAGTGGAGCCTGTTTTTCTGATCTTATGATACCTCACTTCAGATAATGGGCTCAAGCTCAATCCAGGAAAATATAAGAAGTGCTAGATCACTGTCATTTCTTATAATTGAGTAATATTCCATTGTACACACATACCAAATTTTAATAACCCACTCATGAATTGACAGGGACTTGGGTTGTTTCCACATCCTTGCAATAGTGAATTGTGCTGCCATAAACATTTGGGTGCAGATGTCTTTATTATAGACTATCTTTTGCTCTTTTAGGTAGATGCCTAATAGTGCTATTGCTGGATAGAATGGTATTTCTATTTTTTAGCTTTTTGAGGTACCTCCAAATTCTTTTCCACAGAAGTTGCACTAGTTTGCAGTCCCACCAGCAGTGCTAGAGTGTTCCTGTCTCTCCACATCCTCACCAGCATTTGTTGTTTGAGTATTTTTTGATAGAGACTCATCTCACTGGGGTTAGGTGATGTCTCATTGTCGTTTTGATTTGCATTTCTCTAATAATTAGAGATGTTGAGCATTTTTTAAAAAATATTTTTGCTGGCCACTATTCTGTCTTCTTATGAAACGTGTCTATTCATTTCCTTTGCCCATTTATTGATGGGGTTGTTTGATTTTTTTCTTATTGATTTTTTAAGTTCTAGGTAGATTCTTGTTATCAGCCCTTTATCAGATGTGTAGAAAGCAAATATTTTCTCCCATTCTGTAGTCTGACTATTCACTCTAATGATAGTTTCCTTTGCTGTGCAAAAGCTTTTTAATTTGATCCGATCCCATTTATTTCTTTTTGTCGTTGCAATGATTGCTTTGGGGGTCTTCTTCAAAAATTCTTTGCCTAGGTTGATGTCTGAAAGGGTCATCCCAACATCATCTTCTAGAATTCTTAAGGTTTCATGCCTTAGGTTTAAGTCTGTTATCCATCTTGAATTGATTTTTGTGAGAGGTGAGAGGTGGGGATCCAGTTTCATTCTTCTGAATGTAGCTATCCAGTTTTCCCAGCACCATTTATTCAAAAGAGATTCTTTTCCCCAGTGTATATTTTTGTCTGCTTTATCAAAGATTAGATTAACATATGTGGATGGTTTCATCTCTGGATTCTCAGTTCTGTTCCAAAGGTCTATGTCTCTGTTCTTGTGTCAATACAATGTTGTTTTAGTTATTATAGCCTTGTAGTACAGCTTGAAGTCTGGTAGACTGATACCTCCCAGTTTGTTCTTTTTACTTAAGATTGCTTTGACTATATGAGGTCTTCTCTTGTTTCATACAAAGTGTAGAATTATTTTTTTTCTAGATCTGTAAAGAATGATGATGGTACTTTGATAGAGATTGCATTAATTCTGTAGGTCACTTTTGGTAGTATGGACATTTTAACAATATTGATCCTACCAATCCATGAGCAAGGCATATTTTTCCATCTGTTTACATCTTCTATAATTTATTTTCTTAGTGTTTCATAGTTCTCCCTGTATATGTTTTTCACATCTTTCATGAAATATATTCCTAGATATTTAATTTTCTTTGAGGCTATTGTAAAAGGTATTGCATTTTTGATTTGAGTTTTGGCTTGACTGTTATTGGTGTATATGAATGCCTCTGATTTGTGTGTATTCATTTTGTAACCTGAGAATTTACTGAATTCACTTATCAATTCTAGGAGTCTCTTGGATGAATCCTTGGGGTTTTCTAGATATAATATCATATCATTGGCAAAGAGTGAGAGTTTGATGAACTCTAGTCTTCTACTGAATTCAATGAGACTGTGAGGCTCTGTTTGTGTTCTCTCTCTCTGTGACTATCATCTAGATATTACATACAAACAAGAAGTTGAGGGCAATTATAGAGTTCACCTCATTTTTCTTTTCTTTCAGGGATTGCATTCGTGCTACCTATTGTCAATGTGTGAAAGCATTTGTTTCATACATTATATACAGTTTTCTAGCTGTTTAAAATGAGAGGCTAAGTTCAGTTCTTGTTACTTGATTCATACCTAGAATTAGTTAATGATACTCCTGTGTTCATATTTTTTTTTTCTTGAGACAGGATCTCACTCTGTCACCCAGGCTCGAGTGCCGTGGCATGATCATAGCTCACTGCAACCTCAAACTCCTGGGCTCAAGAGATCTTCCTGCTTCAGCCTCCCAAGTCACTGGGTATATAGGCATGTACCACCATGTCCAGCTGAGTTTTTTTTTTTTTTTTATTTTTGTAAAGTGGGGTCTCACTGTGTTGACCAGGCTGGTCTTGAACTACTGGCCTCAAGTGAACTTTATGCCTTGGCCTCCCAAAGTGCTGGGATTACAGATACAAGCCACCATGCCGGCCTCATGATCTTCCAATGGCTTATCACTGAATTAAAAATATAAGTAAAAACAGCAATAACAACACACACAAACACATACACACACACACACACACACACACACACCTTACCTTGACCTACAAAAGCCTACATGGTCTGGCCTTAGTTACCTCTCCAATTGCATTTTCCAACATTCGTTTCCTCACTCTTTTAGCCATTGAACTTCATTGTTTTCTAAGTACAATAAACTGGCTTGAGGCTCTGAGAACTTGCATTTGGTGTATCCTCTGTCTGAAATATTTCTCTTCTGGATATTTTTAAAGTTAATTCTCTCAATTCATTGAGGTCTCTAAGGTGAAGTAATTTGATCATAATAACTTTCTGTGACTTCACTACCTAAAATAACTCACACTCTTTTCATTGGCTGTCCCCTTATCTTGTTGGTATTTTCTTTATAACACTTTTTACAACCTGATAATGTATTATAACTCTATTTATTTGTATTTTTTGCCTCTACCACTATAATGGATGCTGTTGCAGGAATTCTAGTATTTGTTGTTGTTATTCCCCATATATAATAGTCCCACAATATTTTTTAAAAATATAACATTTATTTATTGACTATATAGCACTTGATAATTGTTATTCCATCAGTATTCAGAATGACCAAAAGTATAAGAAGTGAATTAACCAGAAAATTTTCCCAGAATATATAATTTAAAATGGAAAACTTTGTAAAACACATATTCTCAATTTTTATACTGAGACCATATATTTTTAATTTCTGTGTGATCTTTATAAATATAAATATTGATCTTCCTCCTTTTAATTATATGAGATGGACTATAACTACTGTTGACTGATAAAATGTTCTATTTTAAAAGATGTTCTAGCAGACACTGATTACACTATATCAAACTCCCTTAGCCTCCTTTTAACCTTACTTGGATTTGAACACTTTTTCTTGAAACTTCCCTTGGAGCCTGAAATAGGTTGAAGTGTCCCCCACAAATTTATGTGTTAGAAACTCAATCCCCAGTGCAAATGTGTTGAGAAGGAGGACTTTTAAGAGATGATCATACCATGAGGGCTCAGGCCTTGTTAATTATTAATAATTCATACTATTATCATGGGAGTGGATTAGTTGTTGTGGGAGTGGATCTTGATAAAAAGGACACATTTGGTCTGATTTCCTCTCTCTTGCATGTGCTCTCTCACCATGTGATGCCTTCAAGCATAGTATGACTCTTACCAGATGTTAGCTCCATGCTCTTGAACTTTCCAGCCTCCAGAATCACAAGCCAAATAAATTTCTGTTCATTATAAATTACTCAGTCTGTGGTGTTCTGTTATAGCAGCAGAAAACAGAGACAGAGACTTTGCCCACATGTATAGGTGTGGAAAAACCTTTGTTAACAATGACTGCTCAATCTGAAACTCAAATTCTCTTATCTCAGTTTAACATGAAACCTGAGATGTCATTTACATTCCAGAGCTCCTCCAGAAAGATCAGACTAATACTATCCTAAAATTGTAACCTCTTCTTTTCTTTTCTTTTCTTTTCTTTTCTTTTCTTTTCTTTTCTTTTCTTTTCTTTTCTTTTCTTTTTTCTTTTCTTTGTCCTCTCCCTTAACAATTTCTCCTGGGAGAACTTCTGAGAAAAGCAGTTACAAATGAATCCTTATCTAATCTGGCATATGTATTTATCAGAAAAAGTTAGGGTTATAGAATCTTAACAAATAACCCCCAGATCTCAGTAGCTTAATATGTCAGGTATATTTCTTCCTGAGATTATGTCTTTATCATAGATCAGTAGATGTGGGGGTTCTGTTTTGTAAAACACTCTGGGATCTGGCCTGATTCTATCAGTCAGGGGCCCAGTAAGAAACAGATGGTACATTCAAATTAGTATAATTCCAAGAATAGTTCATAAAGAAGTAATTCACTAAGGTGTTAGCAAGAGTGTAAGGGAACCACAAAAGATAGTGCAGTACTGACAGAGATGTTGCCATCTTTCACCTGCGCTGAGGCTTCTTTTTTTTTAAATATTTATTTATTTTTCCCCAAATTCTGTGGGTATAAATATTGTTAGGGTTACATATCTTGCCCCTGCCTCCCTCCCCACCCTGCTCTGCCAGAGCTTCAAGTGTGTCCAGTCTTCAAGTGGTGCGCCCTGCACCCACCATGAAAGTGCATACCCTTCCCCTTCTCCCCCCTTCCACCTGTTCACCTCCCATTAACAAAAAAAACTTTTTTTAGACATTTTGGTTACAGTGTGTTTCTTTGCCTCTCCCTAAAAAGGGATAGAGATAATCCTTTCCTCCCTACAATACCCTTACATGTTTAAGATGTGGGTCCACCTCCCTCAAATCTCTGTTAACACTACAATTATTTGAACACCATAGTTTTAGGCTGTCAGTACCAATTTGATGGCGAGTAGATGTGTAAACCATTTTCCAGGTCTTGTGTTGTCTCGCTTTGTATTACAGGCTTAAGCTTAATCCACGATTGCTGAGGCTTCTTTGATTGCAGAGCTGGGAATGCAGGCTAAGAAGTCAAGCATAAGCCTTATATTGCCTCACACATCAAAATAATGTACATCAATTTTGCTTATATTTTATTGGCCAGAGCTTGTCATATGGACCCACCTGACAGTGAAGGGACTACGAACAGACAGTTACAAATAATATGGTCTTATTTCATTTAAATGTAATTTATATTGACATATCTAGATGCAAACAGAAATGTGAATTCCCTTCCAGAAATGTGATATGTATGGCAGAAATTGTGCCATTTTCAAATATACTTTTCAACTTTTTGAACTTTTATCAGTCTTAAAAGGTAAATGCCTTCAGCTGTCAAATCTTCAGCTTATCATAATCTCTATTTTTGATCAGTGTAATTTTTAAAATTTTTGATTGGTGTCATAACTGAAAATGGCAGATAGAATTCTGGGTAAAATTAATAATTAAACATTTTAAATTAAAGAATTTCATAAAGTAACTTTCTTTTAACCTGATTAAAGTGACAACTTGTTGACAGATGACTGTTACATGCCCTCCAATCTAGTGAAATGACTTTTTTTGAAGGTAAAGAGCATATCACATCATTCCATGTCAAATTATATGCATTCAATATTTGATATTTTATTCACTAACACAATTCTGTGGAAAATATGAGCCATATAGTTTTTCTTTTTTTTAAAAAAAAGAACTAAAGATAATAACTAATGTATCAGTCAGAATAGGTTAGATTTTGCTACCATAACAAACACCCTAAAAATCTCAGCAGATTAAAATGACAAAAATGTATTTCTTGCTCACAGTACATGAACTGTGCAGGGTAGCCAATGGGCTTATCTGTACATCATCCCCATTCAGACACTCAATATGAAGTGAAACAATGTCTGGCTATGCTCTCATTATTGCAAAGGCAGAAACATTAAATATGGGGAATTTCACATTAACTTGTAACCTTTCTACCTAGAAGTCATACACATTATTTCTATTCAGATTTCACTGGCCAGTGCTCATCATATGGCCACATTAACTGTGAGAGACAGGGAATTGCAATCCTACTATTTGTCTAGAGAGGGAACCATGATAAAGACTGCGATACTAGGCTAGGTATGGTGGTTCATGCCTGTAATCCTAGCACTCTGGGAGGCTGAGGTGGAAGGATCACTTGAGGTCAGGAATTCAAGACCAGCCTGAGAAAGAATGATACCCCATCTTTACAAAAAATGGGAAAATTAGCCGGGTGCAATAAGGCATGCCTGTAGTCCCAGCTACTTGAGAGGCTGAGGCAGGAGGATAACTTGAGCCCAGGAATGCAAGGTTGCAGTGAGCTATGCTCATGCCACTGCACTCTATTCTAGTCAACAGAGTGAGACCCTGTTTAAAAAAAAAAATACTGCCATACTTAGGAATGAAATTTATCTCAAATTTATAATAAGTACTCTTTCATTTCAAATGCCATTTTATTTGAGTGTAAAAATTCCTACTAAAAATGTGGTTTAAATACATATTTCTAAGATAAAAGATTTATTGATCTGATTGAGTTTTTAAAATACCACAGAGCATATTTTATTCTTTTTAAAAAATTATTTTAAAGTGGTTAAGAACACTTAACATGAGATCTGCACTCTTAATACATTTTTAAATGTACAATTCAGTATTATTAACTATAGGCACAATGCTGTAGAGCAGATCTCTGGAACTTATTTATCTTGCATAATTGATACTTTCTACTTATTGATTAGCAACTCCTCATTTCTCCCTTCCCCAGCCCCTGGCAACCACCATTCTACTCTCTGTTTCTACGAGTTTGACTCATCTAGATACCTCTTATAGGTGGAAGCATGCAGTATTTTTCCTTCTGTTTCTAGCTTGTTTCACTTAGCATAATGTACTCAAAGTTCATCCTTGTTGTTACGTATTGCAGAATTTCCTTCTCTTTTGAGGCTGAAAAATATATGTGCTACATTTGCTTTATCTAGTTATCCACTGATGAACATTCAGTTGTTTCCACATCTTGGCCATTGCAATAGTGTTGCAATGAACATGTGAGCGCTAATATCTTTTGGGTATCCTGGTTTCAATCCTTTTAGATAAATACCAAGAAGTGGTATTTCTGGATGAGATGGTTGTTGTATTTTTAATTTATTGAGGAGCCTCTATACCATTTTTAAAAGCATCTGCACCATTTTGCATTCTCATCAACAGTGCACAAGGATCGCAACTTCTCCTCATCCTCACCAACACTTGTCTTTTTTTGCTCTAATGATAGTTATCCTAACTAGTGTGAGGTGATATTTTATTGTAGTTTTTATTTGCATGATTCCAGGATTGCAAGGTGAGAATATATTTACATTCTTAAGAAACTATCAAACTGTCTTCCAAGGTGGTTGTACCATTTGCATTCCTGCCAGCAATGAATGAGAGTTTCTGTTGTTCTGTATACTCACCAGAAATTGATATTATCATTTTTGTTTTATTTTTGGCATTCTGATAGGCATGCAATGGTTTGTCATTGTTGTTATAATTTGCATTTCTCTAATAACAAAATATATTGAGCAACTTTTCATATGTTTGGTTGTCATCTGTACATTTTTCTTTAGTGAGGTATCTGTTCATATATTTTGCTTACTTTTAAATTGAGTGGTCTTCTTATTGTTGAGTTTATGAGTTTTGTACATTTTGGATATGAGATCTTTATCAGTTACGTTTTTCACCAGCATCTCCTCCAAGTCTGTGGCTTGCCTTTTCATTTTCATAACATTCAAAGAACAGAAAACTTA